AAATATGTCGATAAAAGATTTATATACAATTAAAAAAACTTATAGTGTGTAAAAAATTAAAAATACAATCTAGTCAGACAGAGTCACCATTTCCAATGAACCTGTCCAACGTCAGGGGTAAACTCTTAGAAAATGCATGTCTAAAATGGTGCTGTCGCTCACGGTCGTAGCGACAGTAAAATGTGGTCTATTGTGACTTGAGTGTCACAATGGCTACACATTGGTGGGTCAATACCAGATAAAAGAAAATGATGGATTAAAAACTGTGACCAATGCGTAGCTATGCCAGGACTACTTCCTCCTTCCGATCCTTACGGAACCAAGATGGCCAAAGACCAACAGAAGGTTTGATCTGGAAAAGCTTATTATGACGTTGCTCACCCCAAGTCGACTGCCAACTGGCACAAAACTGCGCCTTCAATACAGGACCATAGTCAATGTATGGGACAGGCACGGCCATGATGGCACCAGAACAGATGAACTTAGCTGCAGTGTCAGCGAGCTCGTTCCCGTGAATACCGAAGTGCCCAGTTATCCAGGCAGGGGTAGAAACAGAAGTGCTAGAAGCATGATAAAAGGTGTGGCCGAGAGCATCAGCAATGCTCTGGACATCAGCAACTTCCTGGCCATTCGAGAGCAAGATGGAAAGGGGATGGGAAGGACACCTCCCAGCGACTTTCCGAATCTTGTCCCATACAGTTTTGGAACTGGTGGTAGAAGAGATGCTAGTAGTGAACTTAATCCAAGACTCCCTTTGGCTTTGATGTCAAACCTGCCAGGCAGTCACTGGAAGGAATAGTCGGGACAGAGATTGGAGTAGACGTATACCTATCAACTCTATTATCCATATAGGGCAGAAGACCCCTCACATGGCATGAAAAAGCCTCAGATGGAGACACAGAAAGGTCCGTCTGCACTCTCACTGTAGCAGTGGAGCATAGTGCAGTGGCATATGTCCCCACTTAGGGCAAGACCTAAAGTAAGAGGGGTGGGAACCACTACAATTAACACAGTGAGGTTCCAGTTTGCATTCATAGGCATCATGGTCCTTGCCACCACAACAAGCACACGTCACAGAACCACGACAAGATGTCTTCAAATGACCGAACTGCTGGCACTGAAAACATCGGAGAGGGTTGGGAATATAAGGCCGTACCATACAGTTCAAATAACCTGCCTTAACAGTGGCAGATGGACGTAATGATGAAAATGTCAAAATTAGGACTGAGGTCGGCACCATAATACCATCTTGACGAGTGGAGATCCTTCAAACTGCTGAAACTCCTTGACTGGAGAAACTAGTAAGGATCTCTGATTTAGGGATAGACTTCAACAATAAATCCTCGTGAGGAATTCAAGGAAGCGTGGGGAGTAACCTCAATGGGTATATCTCCAATGGCCTTTGAATTCAAGAGCAGTTCACTGTGCTTATCTGTGGATGTTTCAACCAAGATGTCTCCAGAACAGAGCTTCTTAACTGACTTTGGAGAGCCAGCAAGCCCTTCTGAATAAAAAAGGGAGACATTTGCCCTAAAGATTTATCAGACAGTGAATGCAGGATCAGGAAGCGAGGTACAGGTGTACTTTGTGATGGGGACTGCTGTTTAGAGTCTTATAGGCATGGTCATTTACTGATTAACAGAATTTTAACATTTTTTTAAATTTGGATTGGGGAGATCCATAATTAAGGAGAAAGATTCAGTGCCCACTGACCCCACCCGCCATGGAGTCTTGCGAGGGGATGCACTACAATGTCAAACAAGGACACTGTATACCCAAACACCAGCATCAGACACGATGTCCGCAACACCCTTTGAGAATGCCCAACACTGGTACTCAGTTGACCCTAGCCCGAGTGGACCAGCCGATTGGCCCGTGGGGGGGGGGGGCACCCATCTACAGTAATTCAAGGCCAAAGTGGTGTGTTGCAGTGCCCCAGATAGAAAATACAGAACCTTCCCTGGGAGGTCCCCTCACCACGTACAGGAATCCACATCGAGCAGTCAAACAATGGCTTTTATGTCATGTTGCATAGCAATAATAGTATAACCTAATATTGTTGTTAAGAGGGTATGTGCTGAAAGAATATAATGAAATGTATAAACTACAAAATTGGAGAAAAAATTATTTGTTGTTTTCTAATTTAGAAGCTCCATTAATTAAAGAGGTTTGTTTTTATTATTTAACTTTAAAATTGGAGGACAAATCAGAGGGAAGGTTACCTTTATAATCAGGCAACATTCCATAAAAGAGCAACAAAAGTATATAGGTTATACTTTCATGCAAAAAAGGGTTAAGAATACACACACCGACATAGTATTCTAGAATAAATCAACCTAATAACTCTAATTAGTGATTGAAATCAATTAATTACAGTCATGTTGAGACACA